CCGACCAGACTGGTGACGTGAGCCGTTTTCCAGGTGATCCTCCCGGCCGGCGTGTCGTACGCCGAGGTGTGCGGAGCGGTGGGGGTGAGCAAAGTGCGCGTGCTGGAAGACGGCGGCGCCTCGGACAACTCGGAGGCCTGGCTGCTGCTGTGGGACGGCGGCGTCAGCGTCCATCGCGTTCGCCGAGACGCCAAGCACACCTTGAAGATGGAGCTGAGCGCGCTCAGTCACCACGGTAAGCCTCCCCTCGGGATCGACGCTCCATCCGAACGCGACGAGCCGCACTCAAAGGAACGTTGGTGCCGCTCCGCCTTTCTTCAGAAATGGACCCGTCGGAAGACCTCGTCACCGTGGTCCTCGGGCACAGGTCGGTGGTGGGGCACGCCGCCGCTCGTCGCGCGGGGCCGCCGTCGGTCAGGTGACGCGTGTCGCTGTGGCGTGTGCGCGCAGGCGCGTGTCGCTGCACTTTGACGAGCACGAGAGCTGCGGCAGATGGTACCGCCTCCTGCAGGGCGCTTTGGGCGCTGCGGACGCCGGGGAATCTCCCGTCCGCTCCGACCCGACCCCGTACCCGTATCCGCCGAGCGACCTCAAGGAGACGGACTCGGTGCCGCTCGCCGTCCAGCGATGCATCCAACACGTCAAGAGCTACGGTCCTGACTCCCCCCCTTCTTCTCCTTCCCGCGGGCTTTGTCTTCGACGGGCGCCTTCACGTCCTCGTCTTCCTTCTCGCGCGTCCTGCCGACGTTCAGGTCTGAAGGTGGAGGGCGTTTACCGGCGCTGCGGCCTGGCCTCCAAAGTGTCCCAGCTGGTGGAGGCCCTGCTGAGATCGCCGTCTTCCGCCCCGCTGGAGTCGGACGAACAGGGCGCGCTGGACGCCGCCGCCGCCCTCAAGCGGTACATCCGGCAACAGGAAGGGCAACTCTTTCCCGAGAGCGACCGCAAGGACTGGATGCGCGCCGCCGGTGGGTAGGACGGCGTGGCCGCCGCTTCATCACGATTATTATTATTATTTTTTCCCCCGGTTTTCGCATTCACCCGTGTACGGCACCGAGCGACTTGGGGGGGGGGGGGTTAATCCCGGCGTACGGCGGTACCTGGACTTGCGAACGTCGTGCCAGTGGTCGTACTTTTGTGTGTGAAGCCATTTCAGATGAGCGCGCCAGGTTCTCCGCCTACCGACGCCTGCTCCGGCAGCTGCCCTCCGCCAAGCGAGTCACGCTCAATGCCTTGTTTGGACACTTCCACATGTGAGTCAGCGTGGAGGAACATCATTCGGGATGACCTCCTGCATGCAAGTAGACGGAAAAGGCAGAATTGCCTCACAAACGCTCGCTTGTTTCAACTGACAAGGTTTCGTTCACCCGACGGAAAAGTGAAAATGTTTTTTTTTCTGCCGGTGCGCACCTGCCGTCACACGGGGCCGCTGGCGGTGTCGCTTTGTCGTCAGGGTCCAGACGTTCTCTCAGGTCAACAAGATGTCGGCACACAACCTGGCGCTGGTTCTGGTTCCGTCACTCTTCCACAGTCTGAACGGCGACCTGCTCAAGCTCACCCGCGAGTTGGTCCTGTACCACCCGCGGCTCTTCCTGGTAGGTGACGCGAGAGGCGCGCGTTTGCGCCGCCAGCGGGAAAACTCACCGGTGCGTCGGGACGCTTTGCAGACGCACGAGGAGTTGGAGGAGGAGGAGGAGGAGGAGGAGGAGATCACCGTCCTCTGAACAACTGGAACAAGAAGAGACACGTTGCTGAGCAAGACAAGGCCAAAGGTCGGGTCGGTGACGGACTCGGTCTGCAAGGCGCACGCACAGGCCGTCTCGCTCGGCGCCCTCTGCTGGGGAACAACTCAAGCTTCATAGCTCAGGATGGTCCCGCCCCCACGAGGACATTCGGGAGCGTTTGCTTTGAGCGGGCTTACATTCCATTTTCTGCCTTTCTCAATAAGCCACAATTTCGTTCCTTGAAAAGACTCTTTTGTTTCTTCCACAACGTTCGACTTTTGGGGGAACGGCTGTTCTCAAAAGGACTCCCCGCAGAATGCTCGTTTTGACACATAATACGCTCATAATTCATTTTTATTCCCCATTTGAAACCTCCCTCCAATTTTTTTCTCTAAAAATGTACTTTTCTGTAACGCAATGCCTATTTTGAAGAGAGAACTTGGGATATATTTGAGAAGAAAAAAAGAAAAGTAGATTTTCTGAAAAAACATTTGGATGAGGGAGGGGGGATTTGTTTTGTCAAAAAAAAGACCCCATTTTTTCACTCTTGTGAAAATCCACTTTTTATTAAATTAGCCTCATCCTTTTGTTTTTTTTTTATGTCCACCTTTTTCTCCAAAGTAACTCCAAAAAGTGAGCTTTTCTTTTATTTTTTTCGAACTGGTCTTTGCATCAAGAAAGGATGCTCCAAAAGCACGCGTCGCGTCGTCGTCATTGCGAGGAGGACGAGGCGAGCGCACACGGCGGCGCTCAGTGGAAGACGGTCTGCCTCCAGCGTTTGTCGGGGGTGAAAGGCCACAGACAGTCGCAGACGGCGGAGGCGAACGCTCGCGGCTCCACGCCGAGGCCCAGCACCTCCAGACGGGAACAGTCCAGGCGAGGGTTCAGCGGTCGCGCGGCGGCCACCCCCGCCGGCTGCTCCGTCAGCTGCCGGCGGGGTGGACGGGTTGGTTGGCGGCGAGAAAAACAACAACAACAACAAAATTCAGAACCCAACGTGACTCCCCCGCTCAGAGTGCGAGCGACCAATCGCATACCGGGATGAGATGATCGGACGGAAGGTTGAAGGCCCGGGCCATGGCGAGCGCCATCTCGTATTTGGTCATCTGCTCCTTCGCGGAGTAATGGAAGATTCCTCGGATGGAATCGTCCTACACACACAAACCGGCACGAACAGTAACGAAGGGATCGCAACAATCATTCCCGACCGCCGCCGGCACGGCCGGACGCGCGTTCCCGGCGATGCTTCGGGATCCTCATCGCCAAAAAGAAGCGCGGCGGCGACGCCCGCGTCCTACAATTAGGAAGAACGATTGAGAAGGCGGCGCGGGGGCGGCTCTTCATAGCCACCTGAAAACAAAATGGCCGACCTTTCCATATCAATACAGACAGAAATAAGAGGAAGACGATCATTTCAAGACAAAAAGCAGATCAATATTGAGGAAAAGCAAACATGTACCCGGGTGGCAGCTTTCTTGCTCTCCCCTCCCCCCCACCCCCACGAATAAGAACCAAAGTGCACCCAAGTGGCAAAGTGGCGATGATCCAACTGACGCTTGTTCAGAAGTATTGAGAAGAACCGAGTGGCAGACACGCGAGCAAATATACACGCACACAGATAGGGATTTTTGGGATAGAATCGTGTACTCTGCGGGGCAACCATGAAGATGTACGAGCATACGGTGGAGTCATCAAACTGTCCTTGAGTGGCAGATATTGCAACAGAGGAGACGAAGAAGATGGAGAAGGAGGAGGAGGAGGAGGGCATACCCGAGCGGCGGCGCGGCAGATGTTCCAGCAGACAGCGGCGACGTCTTGCGTGTGCGTGGGGAAGCGCTGCTGGCAGTGGTCCAGGGCGCAGGTCTCGCCCGCCGTCGCCCCCCGCAGGACTTTGGGCCACAGCGCCGTCACGGCGCTCTCGCTCACAGACTCCACCTCGCCGAACAGGACGGGAACGCGCAGAACCGCCGAGCCTGCCGGACGAGAGGCGAGCACGTTGGCCCCCCCGCCTGACGGACGAGAGGCGCGGGCGTCGGCCCGTGGCCCGACGGCGCGCGGGACTGACGTGTGCAGTATCGCAGCGTTTGGCGCTCTCCTTCCATCTTGCTGCGTCCGTAGGCGTTGACGGGGCTCGGGGCGTCGTCTTGGCCGTAAGGCGGACGCCGGCCGTCGAACACGTAGTCGCTGCTCATGTACAGGAGGAATGCGCCGCAACACGCTAACAAAAGAGCCACCCGGCCGGGCGGGCGCGCCCCGTCACAAAACATCACGTGTCTCGGGCGCCACGCGCAGCGGTCACATCAATCTCGCACCGGCGCCATCGAGCACGCGTGGCCGACTCACCGGCCTCCCTGGCGAGGATGGCGGTGGCGTGCACGTTGATGTTTTCCGCCGCCTCCGGGTGGCGCTCCACCACGTCCGGGCGACGCTCCGCTGCGCAGTGGACCACCACGTGAGGCTGTGCCACGCGCACGGACACACACACACACACACACACACACCACACACGCTGCATCAAGCTGGCATTGTCGTACCAAAGGACTGCGCTTGTTTGGCTTTTTCTTGGCCCTTTGGTCCTTTTTGCCATGGCGAGGGTTCCACAGAAGAACGAGTCACGCAATCAAACACTTTTGGTTTCAGAAAGGCTCGCTCGTGCCTCTTTGACTTTGGAAGGCTCCTGCTTCCCGCTCGACTCCCATTTTCGCATGTCACAAACCACCGCGTACCGCTTTCTTTTTGGTCGCCTCCGACGTCCCAACGGGCTCCCGTTCGTGCTTTTATTTTGGCAGGTTTTCTCACGAGTCGTCGATCACCATTCGCGGCTTCCATTTTGGTCGCTCCCTGCACTCGTCTTAGTCTTGCTCATCGCAAAATATCATTGACTGGTTTGACTTTGGTTGGCTCCTACTTCCCGTTTGTTTCCCGATGAGGTTGTCTTGATGGAGCTCCAAGTTGTGGCCTGTCACACTCATTTGTCATTTTGGAGCTGTCCGTTGAATAAACAACAACTGGGGCTCTCCTTCCCCACACGTGAGCGCATGACACAACCTTCATTGCACCACTGTAGGTGGGGGGTGGGGGTTATTTTATTTATTTATTTTGAATTTATACCCCAAAAGTTGCGTGAGCGGCGCGCGCGGGCCCGTTACCTTGCACTGACTCATGAGCGTCTTGACGGCATCCTCATCGGTGAGGTCGCAGCGAAGGAGGCACGGGCCGGCCCTGCGGTACGCCGTCCCCGTCACGGCGCAGCCGCGCTTCTGGAACTCCTTGAGGACAGCCCGGCCCAGGAGACCGCTGGCCCCCGTCACCAGGACGCGGCGACCCCCCGCCGGAGGGTCCTCCTGCTGCGCAAATGCATTGTGATTGTCCAGACCAGACCTCAACCCTTTGAGCAATTTAAGTGCAAAAAATATATCAAATAAAATACACGTCTCACGCACACCAGTCTCTCTCTCTCTCTCACACACACGCGCACACACACACACACACACACACACACACACACACACACACACACACACACACACACGTTCCCCCATCATGAAAATGAGGTCACTATGATGCCCTACTTTCCTATTGCATTGTGATTTTTCTAAGGGCTGAATTTGGCCGTTGTTTTCGCATCGTGACTGGATTTACTTCATCAGCGAACGAATAAGAAATCATGAACAGAACTGTATGTGTGTTTACCAAGGTGACCGGTGAGTCTTTTGAAAATAGGAGAAAGATGAAGAAAGTTGTGCGAGTTTGAAACTTGGTCAGCATCGAGACGTTGGCCAGAAATCGCCGCAGTGATTTTCACACGGTCCCAACTTGCTCTACATTTGTCACAGGAAAAATGGCACTCACGTGACCGGGAGAGTCTTGAAACGACCTGCCTGATCATGCTGCTCTCGTGGCAATCAACGAATCTTTGAAATATTACGCACATCTCTGGTCATTGCTTCCGAGTTTACCTGCAGCAGCTTCACGTGCCCCGGCCTGAAGTCAATCGTCAAGTGGTTCATATTTGTTGTCGAATACGCTTAATATCACTTCTCGGACGCGTGGTCAGACCCTCGCGATTTCCAGAGATGATCAAATGGCAACGTTTGCGTTTATTCTCTGATTTGCAAGACGCCGACTTCACCTGCGCGCCACTTCCGGATTGAAGGATCAACTCACTGCCGTAAACCGGACGCCGATTTGGTAAAACGCTTTACGACTAAGACGGTTCCCCCCGCCCCCTTCAAAAAAAACCAAAACAAACAAACAAAAATAATAAATATACTCGTTTGTGGGGACACTGTTATTTGTAAGTTCTATCTTAGCTAAGCAGTTATGGCGTGTTACAAATAAATAAGAATAAGAATTGAAAATGAACGTAACAATTCACCTCAAGTTGTTCCGATTCGAATCCTGGCATCTGTCCCGACAGCGGTTAGCGACACCGGAAGGCCCAGTAGAAGCCACCAGAACTCAGTAAAAAAAAAAAAAAATCATGGGCTTAAAGCGAAAGCCGCATCTCTCAACTGCAACACACAAACGCCGCTGTATTTCTTCGTTGGTATTCTTGGTTCAATTCTTCACGAATCGTCTCACTACCGCCGCCAGCAGGCGATAAACGAAAACAGTACATTTTTACTTGTTGCGGATTTTGACAAAATCACAATTTCAGTTGGTGTTAAATCAGGAAAAACATATCTGCGACATTATTTGAGGTGGTGTTTTGTTTAGCACCAAATTTATGGAAAAAATCGCACGTGGATTAATATTGAATAACAATGGACAATTTGTTAAAAAGGGCTTTGGTAAAAAAAACAAATGCTTACGTTATCTGTTGAAAGGGGAGAAAAGTCTCGATTTGGGTTGAGATTCAAACAACAAACTCATTTCTATGAAGTAGGGCCCCCCCCAAAAAAGCATTTAACATATTCAACGCTTTTCAAAACTTAAGTGACAGAAACTTCTGATTAACTTGTATTAGCAGCAAGCAAACTAAATGCTGCTTCCAGCACTGATTCTTAA